GAACATTGAGCCACGCGCCCCCTATTCCATTTAAATAGGGCTATTCAATGTTAAGGTTATTAGTTAGCTTGCACAAACCGGCTACAAAAAACTTCTTATTGTGTCTAAAGTTTCGGAGTTCTTGCCTTATTCAGACTCTGTATGATTCCATCTGGATTTTCTATAACTGTTATTCTTTATGATATGGAGTACAGGTAATATGGAGTACAGAAGCCAGGCGAAACAAAGGACCCGGATGATCTGGTGGTGAACGCGTTAGCCCCCGGAAAGGGTAATTGCGCGTTCGTTTCCCACCACAGACACCTGCAGTCTGGAGTTTGGCAAATATCTCAGCATCGTTGTGATATGGTGTAGTCCGTAGTTGCATGTGGTCGAATCGAATGCAGCGGAGCATTCACACATCACAGAAAGTAACTGGTTAGGACACTGGACTCGAATCAATGGGGCTTTGAAGAAGACGTATACGCCATGGCATTAGCCACAATAAAATATTTTTTTCTACCAACACTGTGTAGGTTCATCAATACGACGAATAATTGATGAACAGCTACAACTATGCTGCGATATACAACCACAACGTTACTGAGATATTTGCAAAACTCTGGACCGCAGGTGTCTATGGTGGGGAACGAACGCGCTATTGTCCTTTCCGGGGAGTAACGCGTTCACCACCACACCATGCGGGTCCTTTGTTTCGCCTGTCTCTCAGCTGTTTCTATCGATCTTTGCCACAGCAATCACCCGTCAGCGGGATTGATCTGGGGCGCCCAAATCGGCATAGAACCCAGTTATGCTGCGGCTGTAGTTGAAATCACAATATTATACCTTTTCATTTTCTGCCTACTATAATTTCGCGGCAGGTTACTAAGCGAAATACAACCACAACGTTGCTGAGATGTTTGATTTCAACTACAGCCACAGCTTAACTGGGTTCTATGCCGAATTGGGCGCCCCAAATCAATCCCGCTGATGGGTGATTGCTGTGGCAAAGATCGATAGAAATAGCTGAGAGACAGGCGAAACAAAGGACCCGCATGGTGTGGTGGTGAACGCGTTACTCCCCGGAAAGGACAGTAGCGCGTTCGTTCCCACCATAGACACCTGCTGTCCAGTTTTCCAAATATCTCAGCAACGCTGTGGTTGTATTTCGCTTAGTACCCTACAGCGAAATTATAGTAGGCAGAAAATAAAAAGTATAATATTATGCTGCGATATTTGCAGAACTCAGAACACGAGGTGAGCTTCGAACCCGCGATTAACGTTTCCTGGCATCCACGTGTTACCGCTGTACCACCGACGTCCTTGGTTTGCCTTTCTTTCAGCTAGTTTCTTATCCTAACAATGCTAACGGTAGAAACTGGCTGAGAGAAAGGCAAAGCATGACTTCGGTTATGTAGTGGATAACACATGAGCATCCGGAGAGTATCATTATGGTTTCGAAGCACACTTGGGATTCCGGGCTCTGCGAATATCTCAGCATCATTATGGTTGTATTTCACATAATACCTTGCTATGAAAAAAATAATGGGCAGTAAATAATAAGTTAAACATCACTGATGAGCAGTTTATATGTGTGCATTTGTACGTACGTATTTATCTATATATGTGTACACTAGTATGGTAGTTTTCGCGCTGATGACGACGATGCTACGCTGTTGTGTTGTTTGGTCTCACCGTCGTTAGTGAGATAATTGATGACGGCGAAGTTCGGCCAACGACGACAGCGTGAGACCAGGCCACCTTGACGTTCGCCGTTGTCGTTCAACCGGACGCTCCAGATTAAAAACCATACTGACTCATTCCCGACTCTCTGCGGCCATTATGCAGTAAATCAGTGTTTATTCGCTCTATAATATTATGTAAATATCTTTTTTGTTTATCGAAATGCAAAATAATCCCTGGGAGTTCGAGATCAGAGCGTTTTCTATTTTGGTGTGGTCGACGCATACGGTAGTGATGGCTTTAGAACATCAAAACATTTACTGTCACTTTTAAGCACTGTGATGAACTAGTTTGTCATTTATACAGCAGTAGTGCCGTATTACAAAGGTTGTTTTGCTTCAAAAACACCCTCAGTTGAATGGTCTCATCTTACAAGTCTGTTTTCTTTTCTATCATAAGTTTATAGGAGCTCCGACCTGAACCACATGTTCCTTGGTGTCTTACGGAGTGTCTCATTCAATTTATACGATGGGAAACAGATCAGCAAACCTGTTAGAGTTATAATAGGTAAAAGGAGACCTTATTAATAGAGGATGATAACATTTCAGTGTGCCGAAGAAGTCTGACAAGATCTTTTAATAGGTCTGAAAAGCTCCTTCTTGTTTATTTTGCCTTAAAAGTGAGCTTTTCAAAGTGAACTGAGTACAAACCGTTCGATGTTTATCCCTCAAAATGCACTGTCTTCCTCTGAATATTTTCACCATACTGGAGCTGGTCGCATATTTAACCCATACAGTGACCTAAATGGGCCTACCGATTTATCAAGTCAGTGCTTTTATCCTTCCAGATAAGTGTGGTACCAATTCGTCGACCCCGGCTGTATAGGAACTAGCCGGAGGAGCCAAACAGAACCAACTAGGACGCGAGCTGCAGTACAGTTCTACCATCTGCGTAATATGCGACCGGTTAGAAGTACCACGCATAACGGACAATTTTTCAGTAAATTGCAGAATTTATTGGTAACCGACAGGGTTACGATTTGAAACGAACATAGTATAAGTGAAAAAGATTTCTCCTGGTCATAAGAGAGTATTGCTCTAATCAGCATTACACTACGTTGAGTTTGTCGCCTTCGTTGGGCCGTGTTGAACTCTACGCGATCTTCATGGATCTGGCTAATCGCATTCGCCGACGATTACCACCACAACACATCTTTACGCAATCACTGACGTCAAATGGTAACGTAATAATGGAACAATGCGTATAAATTATCGTTGCTGTATTACAACCCTGATCTTCTTATCTGCTGGAGTGTTAAACGCGTCAGTCATCTGCTGTGGTAACAAACGCATTGAAGTGTTAGCTAGTGAACATTTCTTTTTCATAACTGTTTAGCAGTGTAGCGAACATAGACGAATAGCTTCATCATTCATTGGTAAGATTGACGCTAAAGAACAGCTCTTTTTCTTTGTAAAACATATCTATTTACTTATGAAGCAGTACTCAAAAAGTGAGAACTATTAACTTTGGTTTCTGAATTTACAAATCCATGAACGCGTAGGCCTAATTAAGCGCTGGTTTTTGCATAACTTTTTATAATAACCCTTCGTATACACAATTGTCCTTTACCTCCTTTACCCTTTTTACCCTTTTTTATAACCAGGTGTTTAACTTTCCATATTATCTTTACATTTAACATAAGTGGGGGCACCAGAAGCGCCGTGGCAAAGTATGCTGCTTAATAACACCCGAAAAGTTGCTGGTGCAACCCTGCTGCAAGCCAATCAAGGCACGCATCCATACAGAGTCGGCAAATTTATACTAGTCTTGTATAAGAAAATCTCTATGTGATCTACAAAGATCGGTGTACACCTGGAACGCTCTATGGGGGTTGTCTAGAAATTTTAGGGTTCATGGACTAGTATTTCAACGAAATTCACGAAGAAGATCAAACAGAAATCTGGAGACCTTAGTGGATGGCGGCTGCGAAAAAACGAAGCGAATGGGAAAAGTGCTGGAAACCGTGCTTGCTGTCCAGTTATATGAATGAAAATGAAAACATACATTTGTGAAAAATATTTTTAAAATCGAACTGAATGAAATTGACATGATTACATTTTTTGAGGAGGATGAGCTTCACTATGCAAGAAATGTTTGTTTTCAACACTTTTTTTTCAAATATCTCAGACCACACCGCTTTGTTTATCCTGAAACGTTCTGGGGTCCAAAAATATCTCTTTAGATTTTTTTATTTTTCTAGTCTTCATTTATAAGCGGTAGAAACTGTCAATCCTCCCAACGGTTTACCCCCTCATCGTGGCTGAAAGGTGATCCTGAGTGTCGGACTGCTATATACAGATGATTCGTCTCCCCGGCAGAGTCTCCCAAACTGAGAAGGAGTCCGGCGTTTCCACCTAGCTAAGAGTAAGCCAATATCATTGTCCTGCTATCAAAGTCGCATGATGGCAAACCTCCCTTTGATCCAGAAGGGCTGCGGCTGCCTGTCGTGGTGAACACCTGGGGTAGACTTTGGCCAGGCTCACCGCGGGATTCCAGGGAACCACAATGGCTTAAACAGCAAATCTCCGAAAAATGGTGATTATGCTGGGGCCCGCACAAGCAGTGAGGACGGTCCGTTCAAGTTATGAAGTAGGTAAGAAACTGCCAATGGAAAGCCTTACCTCTCAACATATTTTTCTGCCATAATTTTTCAGTTTTACTTAACTTTTTTTACAGACATTTATTTTTTAACCCTTTGCAATTTCAGTGGTGTAATAAAAGATTTTTTACGGATTTAATAACGTGCTAAGTGGACAGGTTTACTGATTTTTGATTTCACCTTGGCACTTTCTAGTCATGTTTTTTTCTGGTAGCAAGAAGACATGAGACTCAGCTCGGAGCAGTTTTTCTGGATTCCATCGTTCTTGTGTTTTTCTGAACCTTCGACAACAACCTGCACAAATCAGGCGTGCAGGGCGGGACTACGTCACTACAAGGAGATAACGAGGCGTGGCCTCCCGCAGAAGCGGACCGTCGGCCTCAAATAGTCGCTGCATACAATTCCGTCTGGACAGCCAGCTATCAGTTTCCTTCTCTACTGAATTTTCCCTTTAGTGAAAAAGCTTATGCAGTGTTTTTTCCGTTTCGATAAAACGTCTTCTGTGAACGATTTCAGAACTCGTGTGGAAACAAGCCGTTCATTTTCACATTTCAATCCCTTTGGTTCTAATTCTTTCCTTCGATTTCTAATCGATAGTTGACGATTGTTCTCGCTCGCTTGCCGGCAGATCGTTCTAGAAATCACCAAAGAGAGTTGAGAAACGCTGTCGGCTTTCAGCATGACATCGATAAAACACGTTCATAGGAAATACGCGTCATCTTCTCGAAACGCTTCTGACTGGAAGAACATCTACATCATCAGTCTCTTTGCTTTCATTGACGCTCTTCAGTTCGCATTTTTTGTCTGGACTTTCTGGTCATATTGTCAGCAGGTACAGCTGAAATCTTTGTTATGGAGAACATTATTTTTTCTAACGTTTGCTTACAGCGCAGAAAGAGTGGAAATTTCTGGGAGTCGGTGGTCACAGCTAGACGAAACCACTTTGAATTTTTATAGCCTACTTGTTTAAACGTTGGTCTCCTCCTTCAAGTAGTTCATCTCTTTATCCTTTTTCTGGGATTTTCCTGGGAGTCAAATTTCAATGTACAACGAGGTTCGCTCTACCAACAAAGCGTCTCGTTCTAGGAAAAAGTTGGACATTTCCATTTAGTACAATAGCTAAGAGTGAATTTATGTCATACAAAGGCTGATGAACTAAGTGTAGCTACCCTATTACTAAAAGCGGTGAAAATTGAAACCACTATGCCAAAATCATGATACCCACAGATTCCTTGAGTGAGCGCAACAAGGACCAATAAGGTTTACTGACAGTAGTTAGAAATATTCGATTATTAAATAGGTTAGGACTGATTACCAAACAGGCTTAACTGTATTTTGATTGTTTTCGCTTGGTATTTTTTGTTAGTCAATCGTGCTAACCTGGTTCTTGTTCATCGGTAAAGCTACTATGTATATATGTATATACACATAAATGTACATATATGTATACACATATACGTCTGTAGCTATGTATATACCTGCATGTGTACATATACATATACATATGTGTATATATGTGTACGTGTAGAGTCCAACAACAACTCAAGTATTCTCTCTTCCTTAATATCAGTATAGTATCGTCATGCACACGAGGTCTAAAAACCTGTTTGTAATAAGACAAACATCAGTTGGATAAGTAAAAACACCTAGATTTGTGAGGAAAACAGTTCGAAGAGCACGAGTGGTCCAGAAAATCTAAAAGTTGAAGAAAAGAGATAGAAGTGAAAAGATCAGTACTAAAGAAAATCAGTACTGAGTACAAGTGGTGATCACTTCCAGCTCGACCCTTCGTTGTCGGCGTCATTCGTCGGTTTGATCATGGCCGTCTCGGGAGTGGGTGAAGCTGTGGCGGCGCCGATCCTCGGTGAGACTTGGCACACTTTTCTACAGAATCGGCCTTGTATATTAATGTAACTACAAAATCATGAGTCGACTTTTCAGCACTTTTTTTCGCTGGGTAGATGACAAGAGAAATTTTTGTAAGGGACAGTTCATACACGAACATATATCAAGAATGTAATTCGGATCTAATTTTCCGTCATCTTAACACTCGCCGGTGCAGTCTCATATAGAAAAACTTAGCAAATAGCGCTGAAGTCTTTGGTGATGTAATAATAGTCACGCTAGATACTAGCCAGTGATAATAGCACTTATAAAGACCAAGAATCAGACTCATTTCTTTGAAACCTCTGTCGTTGGTCTCTACGAAATATTTCCATTCAAATTCAGGATACTGGACAAATTGCAGTAGCAAAGTTGTACCACCATTGATGTCTTCAGTAGGGATGTCCATTGTTGGCAGTGTCATCTATATGTGCCTTAATAAAGTGCCACTGGTGTGGAGAACCTATGGACTTCTATTATCCAGATTTCTTAATGGGGCAGGAAGTGGTAAGCTTATCGGATATCAAAAAATCATTAAGTGAAACTATTTGCTCAAACACTGAGTTTTTATTGGGCATCTATATAGGTGGCATGAGCAAGTACAGCAAAGTTACGAAAGTCTATACTTTTGCTTCGCGTGTGGCTCAGTGGTCGGAGGGGCCCTGCAACACAGACGTGGAATCAATCCCCGCGTCCATGGTCCACCAAGCCTTCCATCCCTCCAGGGTCGGGGTACCAGACTTGTCTGGGAGCATAACAGCACTGGCTGATACGTCGGTAGGTCACTGCGGGTCATTGTAAAGACCAGATATGCATTTAATCACATCCAAACAATGCTTATTGAAGTCGAATGCATGGCGCATTCCTCAGGGATTGATCAACGCCGAGACCTTTATCCTCTTTTCTATCTTTTATATTTTTGCTTCAAATCTTTGTGATAGTTTGTTATAAGCAACGGAATTATTCGTGTTGATCAAATCGTTGCGATGGTCGGCACGATTTGATCTGAAGAAATAGAAATGGACTGAAACGTATAAGTAGCTGACGCTTCCATTTATTGACACTGATGTATTGACACTGTTATATAACTAAAAAAGATGAATAGCCTTATTGTAGTGATGTTCCAAGTTAATTAATCATTCAGGAAATCGTGGTACGTATTTCGCCTATATTGCTGCAGCAAGCGAGGCGCCGGATCGTGCCCGTTCCATGGCGCTTTCAGGTGGTGGCGCACTAATCGGACTAAATGTTGGGCCAGGTCATTAATTAACTTTCCTGGATACTTTTCATGCGTCCCATCAAAATTCTGGGAAATGACGTTCTTTCAACCATGGGCTATTTCGATCGTCGTGTTTCGTGACCATAAATCAGTGTACGGTCGAATGCGCTGCGAAGTTGCATAATTCGAGTTTGGTGAAGGGTTACAACTGATGAAAAAATGAACACAGAACTTGGCTATTTCGGCGGACTTTGCAGAAACACGAAAGAAAACCAGCAAATCGAGTCACTGCTGATTTTGGTAGTCGTTTTGCTACTGGAACTAATCCCGTATGCAAACCTGCACGTAATGATTCACATTGAAAATGGATGAAAGGAGCTTCGTCGATTTCAAAATGGAAAATAGCCCACTGATTGGATCTCATGTGGTTGGAAAAGCTTTTTGAGAAGATAGGCCTTTTCGTAGGGCTCCAGTTCCACGCTTGGGTGAAAACTAGCTCGTCTGTTATAAAGTTAGCTGAATTTACTAGTTAGTTACTGTGTGCCTATTTAGCAGTACAAATGATGTTTACGTGGATCGGCGACGAAGGAGTCGACATCGGTTTCATGCGACTTTCCATGTACACTGCACCAGCATTACTTGCCATCCTGGTAAATGTGTCGTGGTCTGTTTTATTTTAAACTCAATCTTTTTCAAGTCTCATGATATATTTCGCATAGGCGAAAATTTCTGACTGAGATTATGAAAAACACACAAGTTGCTAGATATTTAGATGTACTTGTATTAGAAGATCAAATCACCGTCTTTTCTAGTGCACTCATCCTGCTCTTCTTCTTGGACGATGGTCTGGATCGGTTCAGCAATCCGGACACGGACAGTGTTTCCGCTTACAGTATCGCCGCGGCCAGTGATTCCGATTTAGGTGAGTGTTTCTAGGAATCTTCCCGCGCTCACACCCCATCTACTGAGCATCGACCATTTCGAGTTACGGTAGCGACTTATAGTATGCGGTAGGGAAAAAATCAAGCAAGTCAATAAATGAGAACCATATTCAGAGCGGAATGTTGTGCACCCGATAAGAGTGAATATGCTGGCGGTTGTTGTCTGTATGTGGACGAGGGCTGCTAGAATGCTTATCACCGCTAACATTGAAAGGTAAAATCAGTAACTGAAATAAAACTACTTTTTCTGTCTTTCCGCTTCTTAAGAATGGTCGAAGTTGTAAAGTTTTAGAATCTGTAATCGCTTAATGGGATAAATTTCATAAAATCTCGATATGGGTATGTAATCTTTACGAGGGTCAAATTTTACTAGGTTTTTCTTTGCTAAATTTTTCGAACTACGTTAGGAATCAATACACTTACCTTGATATCAGCATCTAATCACCACTAATAAAAGCATAGGAATATTGAAAGTTTGACGATAACTCAAAAGCCTAACTTCCTATAAACCTTGGCATAAATAAGCGCTATATCTAAATATGTTCTTACGAGCTGCCCTTGTTTGACGATAAGTGTGATAGATTAAATGAATATTTCATTAGTTCCGTCAGTAATTCAAAGCAGATTGCGTCTCATCGACTTTCTGGTGTACAGTGAGAAAAATGGATATCGATTTTTCGTTGGAGGTGGTTATAAGCCGAAAACAGATTTATTAAGAAATATTGTCATTGTTCGTTTTCTTATTTCAGCACTGGTTCACCGTTCTCAGAAGTGATGTTCGGTCTGGACAACGAGCAAGTGTTGAACTACAATTCGTTGACACAAGGAGCGGTCGGTGCTCTTACGGCCGTCATGTTTTTCGTCTACGCGTTCACAGGCTACTCCAAATGGTTCGAAGCGAAATTTGGACCTTTGTTCCTTAACCTTTTTATTTACTGCTTATTCTTTTAATGGCAGGGTATATTGCGAAATATAACTTCTATAATGCTGGGATATTCGCAAAACTCCGGACCGCAGGTGTCTGCGGTGGGGAACGAACGCGCTATTGTCCTTTCCGGGGAGTAACGCGTTCACCACCACACCATGCGGGCCCTTCGTTTTGCCTGTCTCTCAGCTAGTTCTATCGATCTTTTTGCCATCAGCAATCATCCGTCAATGGGATTGATCTGGGAAGCCCAAATCGGCATTGAACTCAGTTAAGCTGAGCCTATAGTTATAATCATAATCTTAACTTTTTTATTTACTTCCTATTCTTTTTAACGGCAGGGTATGTTGCGAATTATAACTTTTGTAATGCTGAGATATTTGCAAAACTCCGGACCGCAGGACCTTTGTTCCTTGTTCTAAAATGAGGGTGTGTGTGACGTAGAGGTTCAAAGTATAGCGTATACTCATGCCGCCTTTGGTTCGACCCCGTAATCCGGGAAAATTAAGCCCTTCATCGCTCTAGGACATGCAGATTGGTATCATACTTGTCTGGGAGAATGAGAACAGTTACTCCTTGCATCAGTGAACAGCCCGAAGTCAATTTGTAGGCTAAATATAGACTCAATCATGCTTAATGGAATGGAATCCATTGCTGATGGATTGAATGCTACCGGGCGCTTTACCTTTTATCTAAAAAATTCATGTACAAGGCTTTGAGAAATGCGAATTGAATGATTCGGAGCTGTTCATAATACAGATTTTTTAACCGGAAATAATCACACACTTTTCCCTGCCTTCATAGTGATTAGTTGGAAACGCACCACATCGATGTCTTGTCCCACCTGTTCTACTCTGCTTATGGGTAAGTAAAAGACATAAAGCGGTAGGAATAGATCACTTTGTCGAGAACGCTACCTAGCGATCGACAATCGAACGGACACAAGAAGCAAAGGACCAAAGGACGAGTATTGTTTTAGAAAAAAGCCTATTTTGGAAAGCTATGTGTGGACTTGGAGCAATTGTTGAAGGGCGTGTATGGCGCCGTGGTCGTAGGCGCCCTGCAACACACACGTAGAGTCGATCCGCGCGCCCATGGCCTACCAAGCCCTCCATCACTCCGGGTTGGGCGAATTGTTACCAGACTTGTCTGAGAGGATAACAGCGCTTGCTGCTAGATACATCGGTAGTCCACCGCCAAGCATTGTAAAGGCCAGATATGCATTCAATCACATCCAAACGATGCTTAATGAAGTCGAATGCATGGCGCATCCCTCAGGGATTGATCAACGTTGAGAGCTTCATTCTTTCGTTTAGACCAATTGTTAGGCCTCTATGCATTTCGAAAAATTTGATCAACCAAGTGCGGTACGACATCGACAACAGTGGAGGTTAATAGTGTTTTGTCCCATTAGCTCGTTAAGGCAATTTGCGACTTATCGAATAATAGTTTCCTAGTCTTCTTGCCTCTTTTTAAGGCTACTTTTATTACTAGGCAGATGTTCAGACGTACAATATAAAAGTGCTTTACGTCAAGAGCCCCATAATGGTTTATTACCAAAGAGGGAAATCAAACTTTTAGAGAAGTACTCTTCATTAAAAAGATAAAGGATGGAGCTCTCGGCGTTGATCAATCCCTGAGGAGAGCGCCATGCATTCGAATTCATTAGGCCTCGTTTGGAGGTGATTGAATTCATTTCTTGCCCTTACAATGAATCGCGGTGGCTAACCGATGTAGCATGCCAATGCTGCTATCCTCCCAGACTCGTACCAATTCGTCGACTCCGGAGAGATGGATGGCCTGGTAAGCCATGGGCACCGAGATCGATCCCATGTGTGTGTTGCAGAGCGCTTCCGACCACTGCGCCACTTGGGCTCTTCGTCTTCATTATCATCGCATAATTCTTTGCACGCCATTGAGACTTCTGCCAAGACTTCGCGAGAGTTTTTGTATAAATCAGTGGAGAAATTTTAGGGTATCGGAACGTATGAACTGTTTGTGCGCGATGATAGCATTGCTCGTCTTCCATCTGCTTACATTCTCATGGCCATTTCTTCCTGGAGAACTACCAACTGATTGCAATAAATACAGTGGAATAAACGGTAAGAACTTTGTAATCCTTGCCGCTAACTGCCCATGTCCACACTGCAGATAGCGCCGCGTGCGGCAATCGTAGGCTGTGGTACATATGTACACGAAGGCTGACGAAAGCAGTCCTTATACCACAACCGTTGAATCAGATATGCCGTTAAGAGCGCTGAGGTAAGGTGACGGTGATGTTGTGGTGACGTTGGGGTGTGCGATTCGTGTTATACTAAACTAATCGATCCAGTTTTAGGTACGCAAGTTTGGGAATGGTGCTGGAGTCTGAGACCGATCAATTTCTGGCTTTACTACATCAGTTACGCGGTGATTTTCGGTATCGGACTGCCGTGCTTGAATAATTCACTCCAGTCGCTATACAGTCAAGTTCTCGGCAAAGGTCGACAGGTTGGTCGGTGTATTCCTACAGTATCTACGGAATTCGTGACCAATTCATTGGTTTCAGGGAACAATGCAGGGTGTCAATCAGGCTGTTGGATGTGTGTCCCGCATCTTGGGTCCTTTGTTGATGTCGTACGTTTCTACCACATCAACTGAATCATTAGCAACTCATGAGGGATAGCATATTTTCAATTTGTCCTCTTCTTTGAGACAAACTCTCCGCTCTTAAGTTTTCTGTTTGGGTTTTAGCTACCGCTGTGCTATTTTTCTTTCACCCGCAATAATAGTTATCGTTTTATACCATGCAGGATATCAGTTCGCTAAGATAATTTTGCAAAATAGGCAATAAAAAAAGTCGCGCCTAAATTTCAAAAGATCTTAAAATCTTAAGACAGGTTTATCGGTTATCACCTCAGCCAGTGGTTTTTCGTTTTTTGTGAATATTTTTTTCTTACGATGATTGACACTCAACAAATTTCAGAACGACTTTCTCTTTGTTCGGACCAAAAACAACATGGTTAATCGAAATTGGACTGATTTCGTTCTGCCTTTGTCTTTGGTCAGTTGTGTTGGTGACATGCCTGTGGTTGTTGTTAGAACTCCCTTTAGATATCCCTGCTTATCCCCTAGGTAAATGAACAGGTGTTGGAAGGAGATGCATCATTTGCGAAACCTTTGCGAATTGTAGAGGATTTCTTCCGGTTAGGCAGTTAGTTAGAGAAGCCCTGCACTACTCATTGGATACGTTTACTGGTCCGTACCCACCCTAAAACCCCAGCTATTCACCGCTTCGGTCTCGACAAGTTGCCAGTAGACCTGCCTGGGAGAATAAAAACACTGACACTACGTAACGGTAAGCCACCGAAAGTCTAGTCTAGATATCAACTTAATAACCTCAACTATGCATGACGAACTCTAATACGTAGCGAATTCTTCAGGGGTTCATCAATGCCACACGCTTTATGCTTTTATAAAATTATATTCCAGTCGTCACCAGTTTGATGTCGGCATTGACAATAAAACCTTGTCTTTCTCTTAATCATTTTCGAAGATTTCCATCGACTTATGCTTCTTTTCGTTATCATCAACGAAGTCTACTTTCAGGTGCGCTGTCTATCAACGTCTCGTTCCAAGTGTCGAAATCAAGAAGCGCAACATTACGCTAAGTGCGGATGGCGTAGGGAATTTGGCCTATAAAAATTTATCACCGAACACTCAGTTTTCGATGATCAGCTATGGGAAATAGTCAGTGTCGTCTGCTTGAACAATTCGTCACACCGCCGTCGGTCATGCTGTGCGCTATGCGATTCACCACCATTATTCTCATCATTCGAGAAGATTTTGTTGACGAATCTCGGCGAATCGACGTCGCATCGGTTATACTATGATTCTTCGTAGAATGTTCCTAGTTCGGCTTATTTATCAGCGAATTTGCACCTGATTTCGACAACTGCGCTCTAAATGTGTAGGATAGCTTTTCACGGGTGAGCAATGCCTTCATTGTGCTGATGCACTCTGTGTTCGCTTTACTGGTTGCTGCTAATAAATCCTTAGCCTATTCTAATCTGATTCATTACATTTCCTGAAGGAATGAATATCTCAAAGCAACAAACCATTCGGTTCAGAATGACCAGTGAGTGCCTTTGATGAAGACGTGGCATGAAAGGAATGCTCCGTAAATCGAGAGCACTCGATTAGTACTGAATACGTGATTTAGAGGGAAGAGGGATTATCGTGGCAACCGAGCCCATAAGGAACTCCAAGTACTTCTGTAGATGACGGGTATTTATAAGACAGGAAAACGAATGAAAATCTTTTGTCGTGCACTATAGTTGGAAACGGGTCACCTTAAGTGAGTAGTAAATTGTGTTCTGCCCTGAAATCACGAATCATTGATGTTCCATAGACGCCACTAGAGCACTAAATTAGACGAAATTTCCTATTTGAAATCATTGCATGGTCCATATGACAATGAACATAGTAGAAGTATCCATACTACTTCGGTACTACTTTGTGCTTTCATAGCTTCAAGCTCGTTTGGGACTTCACCATTGAAAATAATGAAAGGTTTACAGACATACAAGTAACCGACTTCTTTCTCTTAGAGTAATTCCTATGAAATATCTTCTCAAAGATATAGCTTGAGTTTTCATTTTTCTAACGAGTCTGGAACACTTGCTAAAGGCAACAACCATTCCGTAACTATATCCGTGACTAAGATAAAACCAAGGCAAACAAAGACAACTACTAAAATAATCGAAAAAAGGCAACAATAGAAGAGGTGCGTGGTTTTGAGTGAGTGTTAAACGACGAGGTGAACAATGGTATTGAATCTTCTCTGGACCGTGATTTCAACAATCCGAGCAACACGAATTCGAACGACGATACTGAAATGGGTGGCGGTGTTGCTGGGAGAATCGATAAGCTCAGAAATCAGTAACTCTTCAGTTTTTGAACAATTGAGTTTAATCTGTAGAGAAAACCTTCGAAATTGCATCAATAACACCATAATTTTACGATAATGGTAATCGTGGGTTTGGAACCCAATTGAGCTTCTGAGTCTTACCCAAATCTCAGTATCCTTATGGTTTTATTCCACATTGTACCCTGTCACGAGGAGTAGAACATAAAAGTTGGAGCATTATAGAACGTAATGTTAATCTTTTAATTTTTGGCTACTATAATTTTTCTTGGCAAGGTATGATGTGAATTACAACCACAACGATGCTGAGATATTCGCAAAAGTTGGGCCGCGTTGGACCGCGGGCCAGATCGAACCGCGAGTTCCCTTTCTGGGAGCTCGCACATTACAAACTGCGCCACAGAGGCTCTGACTCTGAGTTTCTCTCAGCTAGTTTTCTACCTAGCGCTGCCATCAACAATCACCTGTGAGCGAAATTTTGCGAATACCTCAGCATCGTTATGATTATAAAACTTAATTTCAACCATAAACAATTACTTGGCAGTATCGTAGATCTTAGACGATAGACGATGCAAGGTTGCAAAATTTCATGGGCACTTGAGTTTAAAAGTAACTATTTGGCTACCTAGCCCTACCCATTTTCACTACATAGTAAACGCACTAGTTTAAAACACAAGCAGATATCGATTTTTCAGGATTTCCAGCAATATGGAAGTTGTTGAATTACGTGACCTCATAAATAGTGGAGTAAAGTTTTTATAATCGCTAAAAAAATTCCTTGTTACTTAATTTGAGGGCAAGCAATGTATAGACTCACGCTATGGCATGTTGATCCATAGATAATCGGATAGGTTCCATAATGGTGAGGCACGTATCCTAGAAAATGGTAACATTCCAGGAAATGTTTGTGATATAAGAACATCGTTCTACAGAACGAGCTATGAAATACCATGAGTGTAGGGCCCAACATGTTCGACGGGTCCGATCATAGGTGGATACTGGAATGGAGGCCGATGTTGATAAAGATTATACTGGGGATGGATCTGAATAAGGACAATAAATAATAAACAATATCTTATCAATTACTAGTCGCAAAAAAAGGGTTTGATTTTGAGTTCGCGATTTTCCTATGTTGGAACTGCTGAGATTTTCATAACTATTAAATGATATTTAAAATCTTTATTATTCCAATTTTAGATCTAGGAACGTATAGCACACAGTGGTAGTGATGTCCGTCATTATGAGCATGGTGCTAGCTCGATTCCAATCCAAGCCAACCAAGCCTCTCATCGCTCCGGGGTCGGGAAATTGGTACCGGACTTGTCTGGGAAAAAATCACTCTCTGCAATCCAATTGGGAACGCTCCGGCTCGGCTATCTCAGGACTCCTGGGAGAATTCCTCTACCGGCAGTCTATGACATTCAAAATGAAACGAAAAACCTCAACCAACAACCTAAGCCACACGTAAAAAGTTGGAAGATCTTCGTGGACGTTGGATGCGAGGAAACGAATCGAATGTGAAAAGTGCTGGGATCCGCAGTCGACATAAAGACAGATCAAATAAAAAATTTATTATCTGGACTTTTCAATCCAGTTTTCTCTAAGAATCAAAGAAAAGAGTCTAAAAACGAATGAGTGGCTGTGTCCGAGAACTTAAGATAGAAGATTGGTGCTAAGAACTGAGTCGATAACTAGAAAAATCAAATTTCCCATCTGTGAAAAACGTTCCTACCAGGTACGAAGAAGTTCACGTTATTATTATTTATAAGTAGACCCAATAATTAACTAATTAGATACCTAAATGGTTGATATTTTTACTCTGTGGAGGGCACAAAACCTTCATTGGTTGAACTCTACTGCAACCATCATCTAAAGTGGTCTGGTTAATGTCAGGATTTGCTGCAACATGAGGATTTGAAAGCTTATTCCACTTGTGAATACATCCCGCTGTGTGTAACCTACAAATTAGTTCATATTTAGGAGAATTACCCCCGGGTTGTTTATCCTCTATCTGAATGCACAACGATGATCTTCTGTTCACTCGGATTCTTGTAATTTTACTGGAATAACTGGTGTTTATCTTTTAAGAAATTTCCAAGAACGGAGTACTCTTTAAAGAAAAATACGAAAGCTGGCAGAATAAAATGCTTTCTTCACACTTGACTTTCTACAATAATTGGTATTCCTCTGAATTACCCACACTCCTATTCTACTCTTCCAGTCACTGAGCTTCTGCAATACCGTTCGAAAAATTCTAACAAAGTAATGAAGATAAGAGTGTAATACATACATATATACATACATACATACACACATACATACATACATACATACACACATACATACATACATACATGCATACATACATACATACACACATACACATACACATACACGTACACATACACACATACACACACACCCACCCACACCTTTCTCTTCCCAAAATACTACTGCTTTGCTGCAGTAAATAGAGTTGGACACATTGTCACCTTCTCATATTCTTCTACTAGTTGGGAATGTGAGTGGTCTGTTGCAATGCACAATTCATATGAGGGACGCACCTATAATCTGACTAACTAATGTTTAAGAGACGGTTTTGGTATTCATATACTATTTTTTAGTCAATGAAAATTGGAACGAGCGTAGGCGATATTTTTGACAAAGCACTATGACTACTACATATTTAAACATAGGCATGCATCTAAATCATTTTCCAAATCTGACGTGCTAGAAAGTTACTCTCATCTAGACCACTCGATATGTCTTTCTGAACTGTTTCTCTCCCTTGAGACGCCATTAAGTAGGCCAATTGGGTGAAACCTTCAGAGGCCATCCTTACTACGGTTATTGTGGTTTGTGTAAAAAATAACGGTGAGCGAAACCTACTGGCTGCGGACTTTTGCAGCGGATGCTCCATTTGCAAATATGAAGTAAGGTGTGGTGTATTTAGAGGGTATAGTGCTTTCACCATATATTCGGCATAGCAAACTTACAATCTTAACCGTTTTATTTACTCCTACTCTTTTCTAATGGCAGGGTACATTGCGAAATATAGCTTCAATGATGCTGAGATATTTGCAATACTCCGGACCGCAGGTGTCTGCAGTGGGGAACGAACGCGTTATCGCTCTTTCCGGAGAGTAACGCGTTCACCACCACACCATGCGGGTCCTTCGTGTCGCCTGTCTCTCAGTTAGTACCATCGATCAGCAATCACTCGTAAGCGGGATTGATCTGTGAAGCCCAAATCGGCAACAAACCCAGTTAAACTGAGGCTTTAGTTATAATCACAATTTTAATCGTTTTATTTACTGCCTACTCTTTTCTAATGACAAGGTATATTTATAACTAGATGAGAAACAGGCGAAACGAAGGACTTGCATGGTGTGGTGGTGAGCGTGTTATTCCCCGGAAAGGACAATAGCGCGTTTGTTCACCGCCGCAGACACCTGTGGTCAGGAGGTTTGCCAATATCTCAGCTTCATTGAGAAGTTATGTAGCAAACTTAGTTCGGATATTGACAGACGCCAACCGAAGATCGTGGTTAGGTGGCATTCCTACCGATATACCACAAAGATGCACTATTCGTTCGACTACGTCCGTCATCGTAGAGGTGTTTGAATGCATATTTGGCCTACAGAATATCTTGTAGAAGTCCATCGATGTGTCAAGTCTGTGCTGCTCTCTTTTCAGGCAAGCTCAGGATCAATTTACCAATCCCGGGGTGGGAGACATGGTGAGCGCTGGGCGCAGGATCGAAACGGCGGCTGAATCGGTATGTACTACTGAGTATTTTTCATCTCTGAGCTACAAGTGCTCTACGCGACTGTCAACGATATGTTGAAGTGTTTTCTGTGGTTGTAATTAGACTATACAATCCTCAGCCTTTTAAATCGCCTTCCGGCTTTCGGCCGAGCAGTGAGCAGTCGTAAGATCCGCTGCTAACATTGAAATCGGCATCGTGCTTGGACAATCCGAGCCGCAGATTAGAAAACCTCTATCAGATCCACGAAGATTGACATTTGCTTGTGGTGAGCACGTCAAAACACTAACACGACTATATCGGGTTTTTAGTAGAAACCACCTTCGAATAGCATTCATAATGTTATTGAGCGAGGAATTTCACTAATTCTCAAGTTTCATCTCAATCTACGGCCGAACTCAACATGACTGACTGTTCAACATAGCAGAATCAATAGAAGTGGTGGTATTCGCATGAAATATGAAGAATAGTCATCTAAGTAGTAGCTAAATCTGTATATTACATATCGCATGAAATCTAAAGCGGAATATTAGATTCAATACTACGAAAACCATAATTACAATCAATGAATTTACCTGAGTTCCTGGAACTGCTGAGGTGAATTGTGGATGCACGTATGGTTGTGGCCCTGCATAAGAGATTGGATATTGCGGCGTTGAAGCACACGGTCGGGACATGGGTTGTTGCGGATATGATGTTCCAGGTAGGACTGACCCATAAATGAATGCCTGGGAATTATTTGGGTAAACGGATGTTTGGTAAGTTGGAATTTGTGCTATATTGGGTGGAAAGCTAGTTGGATAGGGAGTTGGTAGGAGTTGAGAAGCTCCTGGTTGAAGATTTGATGAGGAAGACGTGGAGAGAATAGACGGAGTGCTGGAGAGCGGATGACTTTGAAACTGTTGGAACGCGGTCGGTACGAATTGCTGCGGACTCTTCTCTGCAATAAGTTGTAAAATCAGTAGAAAACCTCGTTCTTACAATGGTGTAAAAATGAATATCTAGTTGTTTCAGGAAGAGGTTGAAATAACTTTTCTCACAGTAAAGATGCCATACATAGTATCGAAAAAACTCCCTAAAGAATTTTAGCGAATACTAAAGGTAGTAAATGTAAAATGAGAAACTCTTAGTGGAAGGATTAGGAATTCCCTACGGAGTCACAAAAAAGCAGAGAAAATTAAACTGATTGCACAAGGAACAGTACGAAAAGAAAACCAAAGGATACCCATGAGAAGAGTAGGTTATTGATTGACTATTTTAATATTTTAATCACAATAGATAAAATTTCTCCGTACCATGGATCTTCGATTTTGACGCATCTTGTCCTTCGATTAAGTACAAGGTTGATTGTTCTCCACGAGGAAAGCGATTCGGCGCTATTCCGGAGGCGTTCGGCACAAAACCTGCATGTGGTGGCTGTAGTGGAAGTCCTGTTGTTGGCTGAGTGGTTACTGAGGTGGAAAAGCCAATTTGAGGAGGTGCTGGAATTAAAGGTCATTGTCGAGCTAAGCGATTTAGTAGTAGTTACAGTACCTGGCTGCGTAGGTGAAGACGATGAGGTGACTACAGGAGGCCCTGAATCAGTTTAATAAACATTTTCTGGATTACTCAAGCAGAAATTTCTTATCGTGTTCCCATTTACTCGGCCCGTCTTCACATCTCGTGGAGATTCAGGTACTTCTTTCATTCGATTCATTATCGCGCATACGTCCTCTTCGAAGTTCCCCAAATTTGCGCGCGAGTCAGCCTGACACTTGAGAATTTTGTGCTCTCCAAGAATGTTGTCGAATGCTAGTCGGGTGACCCTCACAGGAATCCAAGGATAGCTACAGCTTTTCCAGGGAGTCTCCATCTGCATTTCCCGGTCTTTGTGGATAGAAGGAAGATTTGTCCAAGTAAATTCGGCATTAATTTGTTGACAACGAAGGGATGCAAAGTTTTCTTGGACCGGGTCAGAGTCGAAGGAGCGGCCTTGGTATAAAGAACGACATCTCTAACTCTGTTCCTCCGAAAACATAAGCAGATGTTAAAAGTGTACAGTGAATGTACTGGATAAGCAAACTAAATAAAACTGTTTCATCTCATTCTGATCATGGATAAATCCACTGCTAAAAAGATATAGTTGTCTATTCATTCCATTTACAGATTTGGATTTTCTCAAAAACCAAAGTTATGTGCATTGGATTTCGAACTTTTATTTCAACAACTATGTTAACAGACTTAAACCTACAATTCGAGTGAGCTGAGACTTAGCTCATTCAGATATTAAGGAATTTTCGCGAAAGGTTTGAATGTATTGCTATGATAATAAAAACATACTCATCTCATATTATCGACCATTTTGTTCCCTCCTCATGTTTTATCTTCTTTTAATGGACCTGTTTTGGCAAGATCATTGGCAATCGATGGACACGAAACTACTACAAAAGAACCCTTCTCAGAATCAATACTCTCTATTCAGGATCAATTTAGTCGTAGGAATAAAGGAACTATTTTTCTCGATTTTGGGCCCTATCTATTAAGTTCCAGCTCGTCGATGGAATACGACCAACCAATTCTCTTCTTAACGTACGGAGACCGTCAATTTCACTATGGATGACTTTTAGAAGCGACTTCTCGTCTTAATCTGTTTGCAGAAATAAGGCTTGTAGCGCAGCGGTTAAAGGTGTTCTACAATGCACACGTGGTCGTCGGTTCGATCACGAGTCCCATATAAACCAAGCCATTAATCTCTCACTGGTCGAAAATTTACTAAGAGGCTTGTCTGGGTGGATAATTTATCTGACTGACTACACCATACTCTGACTTCACATCGGTGGACGGTCGCAAGCCATTGCATAGAGGCCAAGCATGCATTCAATCAGCTCTGTGGTGCTCAAATGGAGAAAACATAGTGCACCCTTAAAAGAACTAACCAACGTCGAACGCTTTAACCTTTGTCCTTCATTGCAGCCGAGTAAAATGAGGTCTATGGTTTGGTGTCCACTCGTCGCCATTCAAACCGTAATGGTGTTCGCAAGAAATGTAAATGGATGATAAATCCGCTCATAAAGAGCAACATAAAACAACGTAATGACGCCTCGCGAACTCTCGACTTTTGTTGCTCTTCAAATTCTCCTTCATCGAATCGGCGAATTGACTCAATGTGGTCTATTTAAATGAGATTGAACCTTATCTTTTGTTTGTAAACACTGTTTCAGTAAATGATACATAAGCTAGCCGTAGTTGCAAGCAGAATTTACAGCAAAGATTTCATTCATTTTACCTATATTCATACACCGGAGCTCGGGAACCGGATTTATTGAAGAACCTGTCGCCTCTTCGTATGTTGGTAGCGGATCCAGGCAAGCACCTGCAAGATAGAGCAAGTATTTTTGTTCTGTAGAACTTTAGAAAGCCCATAAAAATAGTGGAATACTAACGAAAAGAGGTCATAGCAGCAATGACCCCCCCTCCCCCCCTTTCACTATTGATGTAAATGAGAATGTGCTAAGTAAGAAATAGGTATTAAGCAAAAAAAAAAGAATCGTACAAGAAACATCGATTATGACTGCTTAGAAACCTTTGACAATGTGCATTTTAGTCCAGTTCTCACCAGTATATTTATTAAAAGGACAAGCTGGCTGCCGGCCTTGAATGCCTGGAAGTAGTTGTTCATACCTTGCGGGGGAGTGAAGACGACCTCGTCAACAATCAACGGCCCTTCAATGGCCACTGCTTTAATTTCCGATGGACTCACTCGATGCACAAAATCCATGATATGATCGTTGTTGAAGTAGATCTGAATAAAAACAGTCTTCATAATTTCAACCTTTTTATTTACTGCCTATTCTATTTAACGGGAGGGTATGTTGAGAAATATAACTTCTATAATTGCTGATGGCAAAAGTTCGATAGAACAAGCCGAGAGACAGGCGAAACGAAGGACCCGCATGGTGTGGTGGTGAACGCGTTACTCCCCGGAAAGGACAATAGCGCGTTCGTTTCCCACTCCAGACACTTGTGGTCCGGAGTTTTGTAAATATCTCAGCATTATAGAAATTTTCATAGTCTTGAAATCAAAGTGTTTTAACTTGTTTTACAACCCATTGTTTCTCCAAGGCCGGATAGAAATAAAACAAAGCTCTCAGCGTTGATGTGTCCTTGAAGGATGCACCATGCGTTCGACTTCATTAGCCATCGCTGGAGGTTATTGAATGGATATCTGGCCCTTATAATGACTCGTGGTGGCCATCCGATGTATCAAGCCAGTGCTGCTATCCCACCATACAAGCCTATCACCAATTTGCCGACAGCGAAGGGATGGAAGGCTTGGTGGGTCTGGGACGCGGAGATCGACCGCATATGTATTGAAGAGCGCCTCCGACCACTGCGTTACACACACTCCCTTCAAGTTAGGGTACGATGTGAAGTATAATCACTAGGATGCCGGAAAACAAAAATGAAAGACAAATTGAAGGCCTCGGTTGGTGGGGTGGATAGGACATGAGCCCCAGGAAAGAGTGTTTACGGTTTCGAAGGCCATTTGAGGTTCCGAGTTTCCCCCATATGTCTGCGTCCTTATGGTTGCAATTCATCGTCTCCATTCACAGCTGTTATCATAATTTTTCTCTCATTTAAATCTTGTTACTATTGATTTCGGCATGTGTAGTGTAGTGGTTACAAGCGCCCACAGCGCCCATAAATACGTGGTCATTGGTTCGATTCTATGTCGTGCACTCGCCAAATCTCCTTTCCTTTCGGTACCGACAAATTTGTGCCAGGCGTATCTAGGAGGATAACAGCACTGGCTCGATATATCGGTAGGCCACTTCGAGTTTCTTCATAAGTGAAACATGCATTCAATCACCTCCAATGATGCTTAATGAAGTCGAATGAACGGCGCGTCCTCCAGGGATTGAGCAACTCCGACAACTCTAACCTTTATCCTTTCTTATTCAATAGTCTTTATTTCGTTACCTTATAACCCATTCATCTAAGTAATGCTGAAAAAAGGAACCTGAACGACTTCGAAGAATTGCATTGCATTTTTACACGTAATGGTACGAATCTATTACCTCGATGACGTACTGAGCAACGTGAAGGCGCAGTGTGAATTTTGTCTGAAGCGGAAGAAAGATCGGTTTCTCCATCTCACTAGTGAATCTTCCGTCCACTCGTGCACTAGCTGTAATCTGAAGAACTTAGTTTGGTTTGTTGTGCTAAACACTGTGCACAGTAGTCTTAAATGTTGCTTGTTAGAAAGAACGAACTAACGCAAACCTGTCCATTTTTTGCAATTGGTAGCGTGACAAGGATCGCGATATCATTCGCAGAAATCAGCTGTATGGAGAAAGTTCTAGAAAACCAATTTTTGTAAAACACCGGCTTTATTGGTTACTTTCTTTCTAGAGTGCCTTGGAAACTTGAGCGGGTGTTTGAGTTTGAAAATAGCAATTAAAAAAGGTCATCCCTTAATGTCTCACATTCATTTAGGTTCAAAATCTCCGACTGAAGAAAACTGTAGTGCGATTCATATAAAGCTTAAAACTGAAGCACAAGGAAATTCTGTGAAAAGGTGTGATCATGTACTATTTCCCAATGATCTTTCGTGTAGATGAGGTAAAAGGTGAGGATGAAATTTAGTACGAACTAAAACGAACGATACGAACAGCAGCGGATTTGATGTGAGATTACTGCTATCAAGAGAAGCATTTTTTTCCAAAGCCCTTACTAACAGCCCTTTAATTAATAAAAATGGAGTGGTGCAGGAGATTGAACGTACTTCGGCCTCGCCTCGAATGCCTGCGCTGTGCAGGTGATCGACGTGCCGATGGCGCATCCACTGTGTAGTTCTCTACGGAACGGTATATTCTGGAACAACATCGATGACTAGCTTACCGAAAGACGACCCAGCTGATTGGGAAGGTGTCTGTTTTGTGAACGGTAACAAATAACGTACTGGTAATGGAAAACGTTGAGGTGTAGCAGTCATGTCTAGCTAGATGAAGCTGGTAGAAAACGACGAGTAGATAAGAAGTCTGACGGTCAAGTTGACAATGATTAGTCATCGGTTGCACAAATATCGATCGATACTGTTCAGTGTTAAGAGAACACTTTGTCACTATGTGACTATCAATGGCTTCAGAACTAGAAATAAAACTGAAACACAGCGAATGAGAAACGCAAGGAAAAAACAAATGCAATTCGAGGGTAAGGCAATATGGCTGGAGATATCAATGCAACGCAAGGATAGCTAACTAGCTAATTAATAAAATAACTACGTTAAACCTTTATTTACTGCCCTCTATTTTTTTACGGCAAGTTGCTATGTGAAATGCAGCCACAATGTTGCTGAGATATTTACAAGACTCCGAACGTCAGTCGAGCTTCGAACCCCCGACGTCCTTCCCTGGGCCTCACGTTTTGCCACTGCACCATCAAGCCCCTTGCTTTGCCTTTCTGTCAATCAGTCTTTTACCTTAACGGTACTTTCCGAGAGTTTTACTTATATCACAACATCGATGCTGTTGTTTTTCACGTAACACTGTTTCGTAAAAGAAATAGCGGGCGGTGGATAAAACTAAACATTATGATTTCGATTGCAGATCCAGCCCAAGCAATTCCAATACCGATTTGTGCACCACAAATCATTCCCTTTGACGGGTGATTGATAAGAGCGCCGTAAGGGTAAAAAAAGGGCGAGAGAAGGGCAAAGCAAGGGGCTCTATGGTGCACTGGATAACACGCGAGTGCCCCCGAAACGATAACCGGGGGCCCGAAGCTCACCTGGGTAGCCGAGTTTTGCAAACATTTCAGCATCATTGTGGTTGCATTTCACATAATTAAATAACTGTTGAAACATGCTTAATAATACGAGGAAAACAGCGTTGAATAAAGAGACGCAGTATGAAGCCAGTGGACTCATTCGACTGAATTTCGGAAGAGCAGCACGGTTATCGAAATTGCAAGCGTCGGCGACTGTGTACTTAGGAAAACAAACAAATGAACAAACAACACATTATACTTCCACGTGATTTTTGTGCGGTTGGTCTCAACGTGACATACTTAGTGGAAACCTCATAGAAAGCGGCTCTGAGGAAGGCGAAATCCGCCGAAACGTCAGCTCATTCGCGAACAAAGAATAATAACACCTCGCGTTTGCTCAACAAAAATACGAAGAAAAACAAACAAATGAGTAATAATTCCGTACTATGGAAATCCATCATACGAAAAACAAGGAAAAGTGAACGTTCTGAATTTCGGCTGATTAGAATGGCTAAAGCGTTTTCCAAATTATCCGAGATTTCCGCTAACCTGCTGTATGGCAAGCAAACTTGTAGAGTTATTGCTGGGAAAAAGTTTCGATGGAGAATTCAAGTAGTCCATTAACTTTTCGAATAGCATATTAAAGCTTGAGTGACAATGGATGCTTTTCAAACATTTTTCTAAGGAATATGCATTCTTTCTTTGATGAGCTCACACGAGGTTGATAATGATGTTTATTTTCGGCTAACGTTTCGACGTCTTCGTCTTCCTCAGAGCCGATGATCCGAGTCGATGGTCCTCGCTTGTTATTCGTCTCGACGTTGCAGCTTCCCCTTCGTGTCGAGTCAGATCTTTTTCAGTGAGCCATCTCCTCGAATGAGGCATCCTCACTCAGTGAAGCCCTTTTATACACGATGTTGATGGTGAATATAATGATAATGTCCGGTGAAAACAACTTGTTTTTCTTCCGGACGTAATCATCGCGCACATCGTGCAGAAGTCGGTGTTGTTATCAGCTAGCACAAAGCGTAGGCTTTTCTAAGGTTCAAAATTTTTCAAAAATCAGTATTTTGTAATCGTCGGAATGAATGGCTGTTAACGAACGGGTCGGATCAATCCGAAAACGAACACGTTGAACCGATAGCCGAATAAAGGTTTGGTAGCAACATCGTACAAGCCTAACAATCTAGAAAAATATAATGAATATATCCACGCTAAAGTATAGTGAAAATTGGTTTATTAAAGTATTATTAGCACTTTATGCATTTGTTTATACACTTGTGTAGCTGCTTTATTATATCACTACAATTTAGAAATTACCCTATATTTATGAAGGGTAGCGTAGTATTTGTGAGGGCGGTCATAAAGAGCACGAAGGGAGTTCGGCGTCGTCCAGAGTTCAACAAGCCTCTGATCCTTTTGGAATCGGGAAATTAAGGCCAGGCTTGTCTGGTGAAGGTTCAGTTCCTGCAATGGAAGCGAGAACGCTTTAGCCGGATGTCTCAGGATTCCCGGGAGAATCGCCTTGACTAACATTAAACGGTGTTCATAGGGAAGACGAACCCACACACGAAAATTTTGAATACCTTCGTGGACGACGAATTCGGAAAATTGACGGCTCATGGTTGAGTTATGGGAAAACTTCTTTGCAGTGAACAAAATATTTTGATTCCGCTTGTCGGTGGCTTCTTCGAGAGGCTCCAAATGCGACCCACGCCGCTCTCCTTCTTCCGCCTAACTCCTACTCTATGTTAGGAATTTGCGTGACTTCATTATCTATTGCGTTGCTGCGGTAAACAACTATGGTGGTATTGTGTCGCTTTGTGGATCTTCTTTTATTACGGAATAGAAAGGGGCCGATGGAAAAGCTGTATTTTCGTGATGCAATTCTTATAAGAGTCAGATATCGTCCATTATATAAGATAGGTTCACTCCTTTGTCGGCGAGCACTGATAGTACTGTACTGGCTTCGAAGCTATTAAACGCTTTTTGTGGTCGAAAAAGAGGGCAGAGTGCGGATCATGGACTTGACAGATTTCTAACATTCGGTACACAGTTTATTAATGCTCCATGCTGTAGGGTTCTTAGTTCATGCTATTTGCTCAGCTGGTTGTGCCTCATTCAAAGTCTTTTATATGTGCTGCAAGATAATCTTTGTAAATAGCTTGTAGCCTACACTCAAGAAACATATCGGGAGGTAGTTAAGAGGATTCCTTTAAACTCTCCTCTTCTTGTGCTGGATGACCACTGGCGACGTTCTCCATCAGTCCGCGATTTCCTCCTCCTGAAAGCAAGAAATCACATGGGCTGCGAGAAGTACATTTAATTTATAGCTCCCAGCTCGAACAAAGTCACATTTAATATTAATAAGACAGAGACCGTGTTTTTTTTTCTTGCTTTTCATAGCTACTTGAATCTCACAAGGAAGGATTCCAAATGGTTTCTCTGAGACGAGTGTTTATGGTCTGCGACGGGGGCGAAAAAACGAAGAGGTAGTGTAGAACGTTTCCGTAGTAAATTCCATTTCATGGTGGAGAACTGCAGCAATTCTATCTTCATTTGGCGGCGCTGACGGAAGAACATTTAACTTGCATATGTACTAGAGGGATTTCTTGCCGATGGCCTTTTTGCGCTGTTTCTAAGGATTTCTTTTGTGGCTATGCCGATTTAAATCCTCCTGCAAAGATCTTCTACAGTGACACTCATTAACAGCCGTGCTCGGTTTGTTGCAGTAGAATCAAGCTTCATTTTTCTTCCCTTCTCGGGCACTTTTGTAGCGCTAATGGAGATAAGATCTGACCTTTTTGTTTGAGGGATCCATACGAGTTCAGCACAAGTTTTAAGCCTCTCGATAAGCAGCTCGTAGTCTTAGGTCGGGTCTTCCTGAATCTGTCAACCATGTTTGGACAGGATTTCGTTCGGAAGGCTCCTGTGATACATAGTTGAGCTTTTTCTTCTTCTTCTTCTTGATCGATAACATAAATTCTTTTCCATTTCGCGCGAAGAAGACGATGATGGGAACCAATGTAGAACGCCGGCAGCACCGATGTACCAAGGAAGCTCGATCTGCTTGTAATGATTTAGTAAATATTCCTATGTGTAGTTCGGCTAGGTAACTCCCACAGCCACCGTAGAATTCCTCTGTTCTGGAAAAACGAATTTCCATAAAACAGACGTGCTGCAAACAGGATTTCTGCAAGATAGTTTTGATTCCCCTAATTCATTTCTGTTAGTCTTTCCTATTGTGGCGCAGATGTCTCCGACAACAAATTTATAATTCGCGCTTTCACTGTGGATAGGTTTCTCCCACGGATGATAAAATGCACCTAATTCGTACTTAACAGCTGCACCGCTTAGTGTGTAGCAACTGACGATACTAATCCTTTTATGACGCGTTTCCTGAGCGCAGAAGATGGCAAAGTGAGGGGGAAGAATCGCACGAATCAGCGAGACGGGTAGTAGACGGGTCGATGACAAAGCGTATGCCACCGACATTTCTTAAAGAGTACATTTTTTCTGACAAATGGAAAGGGTCTCACGTTTAATTGGTGTATGTCGGTCTTCCTGATTTTCGTTTTTTGTAGGGCAATCATATGCAATTTGATGTGAACTACCATTTCAGGAAAGGTGCGAAGATCGGTATCGGAGGAAAGTGTTATGGTATTATATGTGTAGAATAAAACACAATATTCACTGCAGGTTGTGAGGGTGCCCGCCATATCCTCTTCTAGTGACATCCTGCATAATCCGAGGTTTTGTGGCCTCTCAGCGGTCGTCTCACTTTCTTACGTCATAGGCGGGAATACTCAGTTTGCGAGGTACTGGCGATGGCCTATTGCTGTATGGGCACTTTGTTCATCTTTGTTCTCCTGGCCTAACTTTGTCATGGCGGTTTTCAGCTCCTCACCATGAATCAGAGCGAATATGTTTTCGTCAGCTATTCCTTTGATCCATCGTCCTACTAACTGATTCAGACATGATATTAAAACCGCAAAACCGAAATCAAAAATGAAAGTAAAAATGAGTGATTGACGGGTCTCTCAGGGACGATGTGGAAGCCGAGGATTTAGATTTTCTACAATTTAGATCTAAGATGTAGGATTTAATTTGAGCTAATT